GTTTTTCTATCTTATTAAACTGTTATTTTCAGGGTTCCTACCATTTAAAGGTAATTTTGTATGTGGCCAAAATAACTCAAAATACCGTGACTGAGCTCCTTTAACCTAAACAAAAAGTTGCGGTAATCTAGCCTGCAATTGAGTAGATCAATAAAATGAACTTACTTTTGTTGTTGGCTGTGTGCTATTGTATCTCTGGAGTCCTGTGGTGCTATCTTAAGCGGTTTCTCCGATGCTGTTTTCCAAGACAGTCTTGGGTTTTCCAAGATTTAGTCAAGGCTGAATACTATGCTTGAAATCGGAAGGAAACCAACAGCAGTAGAAAAAAAAAACCCACCTTAGATATCACCACGGAACACAGCAAGGGTCAGCAAGTCACAGCAAGTCACAACAGTAAGGTCGTCGTTAGAATTCTCAGACAAACCCTTATAACCACTAGGTCTTTCGCGCGCGATGTGCGTTTGAATTAGCTGTGTTCATAACGGGTTGAGCCGACGGTTGAACCCACATGGGTTTTGGTAACGAATACCGCTGAAGAACCACTCTATCAAAGGTCCCTTCTAGGGCTGTACCTTAGAGGATCTAGACAGACGAGTGTCTCTACGGAGATTTACCAAGTCAGTTGAAGTTAGCCTCTCAGTGACGTTCTAATTCCTCTGTTACCTTGCCGTTTCAGTCCAAGCTGATATTAAAGATGATAGATGAAAATCCCAGCAACAGACCAACCGCGGAGTCTCTCCTAGAGCTTGATGTTTTCAAAGAGGAGCACACGGTAAGGCTTCAACCGTCTTCTTGTATAAATTTAATTTGTTTCGCTTTATGCGTAGTAACTGTTAGCCAGCAGACTGCGCGGTTTTTGAAAGCGACTAAGTGAAAGATAACACCACGCTTACCTTGAAGCTCAAGGCAAAGAGATTCGAACTTTTAGGCCTCGGAGAAACTGCAAGATTATTTAAGCTCCATTTGAAAGTGTCTTTCCTTAAATAACTATTAGGTGATAATATTATGATAGTATTTATCACCAAATTAGTTTTTTTTTTTTTTTTTTTTTTTTTAATATTTTCTTAATTTTACTAAATCTTAGGTGAATACATTTTACTTTATATTTTAGTCTCCCCAATTAGTAGAGCACTTGTGCTCAGCTATTAAGACTGAGACTTAGATAAAGTTGTCATTCATTCATTCAAGTTAAGGAAACACCGATAGTCGATCACTTGCAACTTTTCGAGAACCTAGTCAGAAAAGAACTTCGGGGCCATTCGCTGAACAGCGTCGCTCTCCTCTAGGACTCTAGAGCTCTCTCAGTTCCTTTAAATTGTAAACCATCTCGCTTCCACTAGGAAGTAGACACAGCTATTTGTTGGGGTACACTTAATAGAGAAGTAACTGAACTGTCGCTGTGGTAATTCCTACAGCAAATGAGCGATTATCTCAATGAAAAAGTCAAAGAGCAAGCTTCAGAGATCATCGAACTAAGGAAAATGCTGTTAAAAAAAGAGGAAGAACTGGACGCCAGGACAGACGAGGTCAGCAAGCTAAGGCGGCAGCTTGAAGAGAGAGACAAACTTATCGAACAGATGTTTAATAACAAACTGTGTGCCGCGTGCAGTCATAGACTTGTCAATCAAGTGGAGGAAATGGATACGGGATGACAACCCATTAGGGTAGGGAGGGGTGAGAGAGAGGGAAGGAAATGCTAGTGTTTTCAGTGCCCCCTCCACCCACTTCTCTAAGAAGATGAATTAAAGAAAGGTTGGGGTGGGGAGATGGAGGTGTTTTTTTTTTTCGTATTTGTTTTTATCGCTTTGTGGCGGTGAGTGCTTTGTATGTTTGTTTGTTGTTAATTTGATGTTGTGTACACATTTTGCATTAATGTAAAATTTTCACATGTTTGAATACGGTTATATGTAGACCGGGTTTTATCATCACCTCTCCGGTCCTCTTTCATTTTGATACATGCATACACTCACAGACTTGTTATTATCAAGAGTAAATTGAATGAAACTTTAAAATAACTGTTTATTAAAAACCATTTGGTAAACTCTTGATGAAACAAATTAAGGGGGGGAGGTCTAGCGGCACGACCCTTGCGATGAGGGTGGGAGGGTGGGCTGTTCCCTGATCCGCGCTCTGCTGGAAAACCGGGTGGAATACCGAGCACGAATGGAGTGAACAAGTCGTCTCGGTATTTATTGAAGAGCTATTACGTAACTAATGCGAAGAATGCTCACCTAGTCGAGAAAACTGCATTGTTGTTACGTATGTCAACTTTGCATATCATAATGAATGCTGTGAATAGCACACTTTGAAAACAATTTTTAAATCATATTCAAAGAAAGGATTTTTCGTAAACTGTTTAAATGGTCGGGTTCCAATTTAAACCTTCCTTGTTCGTTAATCCCATGTTTATGATGACATCTTGTGGCATTCCTTTCTACCGAAATAAATTATTATCTTGGTCAATGTTCCCTCGATTCGAAGAAAATTCTGTGCGTTGAAAAGAATGATATGAAATAAGATGACATCCCTTAAAAAGAGTTAGCTTTGTTTTTCAATTTTGCCCCAAGTCTCCTTTTGGCATATCTTTTTTTTTTTTTTTTTTTT